TCTTAATGACTTTTTGCTCTCTTCATGTATGATATTCTTGATGTCATCCCACAACTCTTCTGGTCTTCGGTCTTTAGTGTCCAATTCATCAAATCTGTTCTTCAGATGATCTCTAAATTCAGGAGGGATAAACTTGAACTTAAGTAACATGGCTTGAACTTAAGTAACACTAAATAATAACCTTATATAGTTGTTTCTACTTAAATACAAATTCTTAAAGACACAGTTAGGAACGGATCTTATTTATATCCTGGTATCTGCCTGTAAATAATTAATTCAGCAACAGCTGTATAGAAAGAGTATATAACTTATCTTCTGGATACTGCAACTAACTGAATAATACAAAATTAAGTGAGAACTTGGTTTAAAGACACAAACAGAATTTTCAAATAATTTACACTCATTTTTAAAAATGAATGTAGAGCTTATCTATTACAAAGAATTAATGAAACACTAAAGGCCCAATCAGAATCTTATCATGTGACCTTTAATTAGGCAATTGTAAGAGCAGTGGGGTTCAGCTAGTATGCACAGAGTTATCATGGTTTAAAGCTGGATAGGACAATACAGTTGAATCCCCTTATTTTGTAGCTGAACTAGCCTTAATATAAAACTCAACCAGTGGTTTTCCACAGTGTTACATCAAATACAAGGTAAAGTGATTGGATTGGGTGGCCCCAGTTTTTAATTTCTCACACTGTATTCTGCTCCACTCCTTGACTCTGAACTCAGCCATGTGACATCATGTGGCTAATGGCATATTAGCAAACATGATGCAAGCAGAGATATGAAAAGCATTGTACATTAAATACATGTCTGTTTTAGCCTCTAGAAGACAGGACACATGGAGTACAGTCATCAGCTGGGCTGAGAAATGATGCCTGGATTGTGTGTGTCCCATCTTCTAGAGGCTAAGCCAGACATTTATTCAGAGCTATGATGGACTGCTAGCCTAGTGGTTACGAATCGGGCTGCTAACCTCAAGGTCAGGAGTTTGAAACTACCAGCTGTTCCGTGGGAGAAAGATGAGGCTTTCTGCTCCCGTAAAGATTTGCAGCCTCGGAAACCCTGTACAGGGTCGCTATGAGTTGGAACCGACTCCACGCTACCTAAAAACAACAACAACAAAGATGGATGATAAACAGCAACAGGAGAACAAGTCTCAATGCACAGTGCTTTTCATGATAATTCTTTATTGAAACAGAAAGTGCTTTTGATTAAATTATTTGAATCTTGTACAGCCATAGATAAAGACTTTCCTTACAACCACACCCATGTTACTGGGGTTATAGGCCTGGGAAGATGCACTTAGAGGAGAGAAATGAGGAGTATTAGCAGGCTCAGTGCCACAGGGGTACATGTGACTTTCCCAGCACTATTGTTGGACCAATATTTATTATACACATCATCCAGCACAGATAACACAGCCTCCATGGTCTCCTCACATGTGGGCTGGATCTGATCATCTGGCAAATCAAATCCATGTGTACCTTTGTCTCTCAGCTCAAATGTGTATGAGAAGGGGATGCCAATATCCCGAGCCCAATCTCTTGATGATCCTGATGTAGCATCTATAAAGAAAACAGAAAGGCAGAGTTAGAAATTGTAGATTGAAAAGACAAATTCTGAAATCACTTCAAAGAATGAAGGTTCAATCTAATAAAATAAATAAACTGTTTCAGATTAGGGTCTCACGGATCTACCTCCATCCCAATATTAAACGTCAGCAGAGCAGGCTTACTTCTCTGCTCTGCCCCATATACTGTGCCTGGCAAGTAGTAAAGGGTTAGTAAAAGTTTGTCAGCTGAATAAAAGACAAGGCAATCTAATAATGTAAGGCAAGAGTTATCTGACTAATACAAAGGAATAAATCAAAACAGCCAGCAACAAAATGTTATGCAAATATCATCGAGGTGGGCTCAGGAAGTTGGAGGAGGTGGTGGTTGGGAATGGTGAAAAGCAGTACACTCTTCTTCCTCTTAAATTCCTTTCTTTTGGATCCTTTCTCTAGACCCTCCCCTGTACAGCTTTCTCAGTCCAATAGGTGCTCTGAGAATTGAATCAACTGACCAAGGTCCATTAGACAGCATCCTTTCTGTCAACTCCTGTGCCTTCGATCTTGCCAGCTCTTTTTAACTGAAGCCAGAGGAAGTTCTGGGCTGAGCCAGTGTGTGAATTTCCTCTTATTGCTCACACCTTATCCCTAGAGAATGTAATTCTGGGTTTGTACAGACTCCCTTTTATCCTTGGTCATTTTGATTTAGAAAACTCCCTGTTGATTCCCAAGAACTCTTCTATCCCTCTTCTGCCTATCCTACTCCCAAAGTCTACTGATTTTTTTCTGTGTCTTAAGTATTATTGTAAGGCAGGGAGAAAAAAATGAACACCTTACATAAAATATCTGCACTGGAGCCAACTGTATAATTCGTCCCATGCTTTGCTTTCAATGCATTTGCTGCCTTCTGTCCGATTTGAATCTATAGGTGAGAAACACAGAGACAAATATTGATAAAATAAACACAACAATCTAGAGGTTTTAATACTGTGCTCAGATCCATCTCCACAGTTCCAGGCCAATGTTTCAAGTCCTCATTGGACATTTACACCTTGGTTGCCAGTCAATACCTAAGACTCAATATACTCAAAGCAGTTTCACCTTCTTCTCCACTAGTAAGATTGTTCTGATATTCACATTTCTGGTCTAGCCATTCCTCCAAACAAAAATGTAAAATCCTGAAGTTATCTTTTACTCTTTTTCTCTCACAACTTTCCATCCTAAATAGTTCAGATTCATTGCCTATGAATAGAACATTTGTTATTCTTCCATCCTTTCATCAATACTTACTTCAGTGGATGCTTCCTGGCTCCATATGAATTCTTGTAGAGTGGAACTAGGTTCATATGCTGAAAAAACTTCAATAACTCTCAGTTGTCCGTGGAATTAAACTTCTCAGTCTATTGTTTAAGATCCTCTAACATACACATGTGACAGGCTGGGGGCAGGGAGGTGGGTGTTTCCTTGAACTTGTGGATTTTGCCTTATGTGACAAAAGAGTAAATACCACCTTACATGGAAAAAGATGTGATTAAGTTAAGGATCTTCAGAGAAGGAATTGACTCTGGATTATGTGAGTAGTTCCTAAGTGCAATCACACCCAAGGAGAAGACATACGGAGATTAGATGTATAGAGAAGAGAGAGGCAATACGATCAAAGAGGCAGAGATTGGAGGGATTTGACCCCAAATTCAGAAGCTACCAAAGATGAGACAGATTTCCCTCCAGAACCTCCAGAGGGAGTGCTGTCCTGCTGAAAGCTAGATTTCATATTTTTGTCCTCCAGAATGGTGAGAGAGTATATTGCTGTTATTTTAAGCCACTTCCAAAAACAAAATAAAAAACAGACAGAAACCACCACCATTGAGTTGATTCCAATGTATGTTGTTTATAGTTGTTGGATGCTTTTGAGTTGGTTCCAACTCATAGTGACCTCATGCACAACAGAACAAAACACTGCCTGGTTCTTCGCCATCCTCCCAATTGTTGTTAAGCTTGAGCCTATTGCTGCTATCGCTGTGGCAATCCATCTCATTAGGGGTCTTCCTCTTTTTCTTGGACCCTCTGCTATACCAAACATGCTGTCCTTCTTCAGGGACGGTCCCTCCTGATAATACGTGCAAAGTATGAGATGGAGTCTCGCCATCCTAGCTTCTAAGGAGCATTCTGGCTTACTTCTCCAGGAAGTCCATGGTGCTTTTCATATTCTTCTCCAACACCATAACTCATATGCATCAGTTCTTCTCTGGTCCAAATTTAACATGACTAGTTGTTGTTAAGTGAGCTCTGGTAGCGTAGTGGTTACGAATCGGGCTACAAGCCGCAAGGTCAGCAGTTCGAAACTACCAGCCGTTCCATGGGAGAAAGATGAGGCTTTCTACTCCTATAAAGATTTACACCCTCGGAAACCCTGTACAGGGTAGCTATGGGTCGGAACCGACCCAATGGCACTTAACAACAACAACAGTTGTTGTTAAGTGCTGTCAAGTCAGTTCCTATCCATAGAGACCCTGTATAGGGTTTCTGAGAAGCAACTGGTGAACTTGAACCACCAACTTTGCTGTTCAAACCAATTTTACATTCTAGCAAAGGTGTTCTCCCTTCCTAGCTCCATCCTGCCCAACTGAATCCAACATGTGAAGAGTTGTACTTGGGTAGAGTGTAGATTGTTATTGCTATTCAGTGTCATCAAGTCAGTTTCAACTCATAGTGACCCTGTATAGGGCTTCCAAGGATGGCTGGTGAATTTAAACTGATGACCTTACAGTTCAAAATGACCTTGCAGTCCAGTGCATTACCCTCCAACACCACACCAGGGTATTAAAAACAGAAGACTGTAAAGGAAGTATATGTGGAAGTGGAAGTCTTGGTGTGGCACTGTGCAATAAAGCACTCGACTGCAAGGTGGGTTTAAACAACAAGGTCAGTGGTTCAAACTCACCAGCCATTCCTTGGCAACCTATACGGGTCACTATGAGTTGGAACTGACTGGACAGCACTTAACAACAACATATATGGAGGTGAGTGGTTATACAAACAGTGTGGGTAACATTCTTAGGACACTTTGGACTTCCTGTGTGAGACTGAGATTAAAAAAAAAAAAAGAAAAAATATTAAATTGAACAAAAGTCCAAACTTTCTGCCTCTTTTCTATGCACAACTGAGAATTCTATCTTTAGCATTCAGCTTCCTTCTTTATTCCTGAAAGGAAATACTGATTTAGTCCTGGGTTTGTCCTATTCAGATCTGAGATAATGGGCAGAGAAGCATAGAGAATTATAAGGAATAAAGGTGGTTTGATAATTTAGATGGGAAAGAAATACATAGAATGGAAAGAAGAGATATCCATAAGAAAGAAGACGAAATTATAAGACAAAAATGTCAGAAAAGGGATTTCTGAGAGAGAAATTTTAGTAAGGAATTCAAAGTGAGAGAAAGGATTTAAGGTAGCTGCTATGTGTGCGTAAAATTAGAAGCAAGAGGCCTGGGGCAAAGTTGCTGTGACTTGCCAGCTACATCCCATTTAAAGTCCTGAGAGTCTGTTGTAGAGATCAGAATTGCTTTTAATTACTAGGGTGAGTCAAAGTTTATCCATGTTCTGGCTGCAGAATTTATTTTAATCAACTTTTAGAAAAGACAAATACATCAATTTTTTACATAATCTCTTTGTTTTTCAATACTCTTTGTCCATTTGTCAACAAGCTTTCATAATCCATTATTTTAAAAAAACTGTTTTAGGCTGAGCTGCGAGCCATGAATTCACTGGTATCTTCACCTCTTTACCAGAGGTGAATCTTCATCCTCAAAGGGCTGCATTCAGGGCACCAAACAGGTGAAAGTCTGATGAAACAAGATCGGGTCTATAGGGAGGATGCTTTAATGCTTCAAAACAAAGTTATTGTAAGTGTCAACAGTGTGGACAGAGATGTGTGTGGACGTGCATTGTCATGCAAGATCACAAGCCCCTTGGATAGCAGTTCTCTGTGTTTAATCCGAAGTTTAGACTTTAGCTCTTCAGTGAGCATCTCACTGTAACGAGCACTGCTGATTGTTGAAACTTTTTCCTGATGGTGTTCTGATACTGACCCTTGAGAATTCCCAAAACTGTAAGCATCAATTTTTTAGCTGATAGTTGAGTTTGGGACTTTTTCTTGGTCGGTGATTGAGGATATTTCCATTCCATGCTCTGTGGATTACTCTCAGAAAATCCAAATCTCATCACCAGTAACAATTTTTTACCGTCCCTCGGGAGTCTTGGTATGGTGCTGTGGGTTAATACACTGGACTGCAAGGTTTGTTTGAACCGCAGTCATAGTTACAAACTCACTAGCTGCACCTTGGAAACCTTATACAGGGTCACTATACAGACCTGACTTGATGGTACTTAATACTTGCCTTCGAGTATCAGTTCAAATTTTGTTTGCAGATGTCCAAACACTTCTGTTTATTCTCAGCCATGAGTTGTTTTGGTACACATCTCACACAAACTTTTCAAAACCCAAGTCTGTCATGAATTATTTCATAGGCAAAGCTACAGCTGATTTGCCTCATAATCCACTGTCATTTGTCTATTTGACAGAATCATTTCACGTGCCCGCTCAATGTCACCAGCTGTGGACATGGGTAACCATTTTAATATAATGGGAGTGTGCATAATTTTTGACTCACCCTTGGATTTTAAATTTTCATGTGTTTCTGAGTTTCTCTGAATGAAACTTGATGCTAACGGGGCCACATAGGGCCTTGACTCTTATTTGGCTTACATGGATCAGCCTGATAATTTCCTTACTAGAGTGGCCTTCCAGTAGAAGTGATGCCACTGCCCCAACTCTCTCCTGTCTTCTTGTTTCTTCTTGACGGTGGTCACAGTGCTCCTCTAACCAGACAGACATCAGCACAAGGGCCTCTGGGCTTAGAATATAAACCTTGCAGAATGGTTATGTGGTATGCATTTTCTTGAACCAAAAAGGTGATGAAGCCCCCAACAAAATTACAGGGGTACCACTAGCTTCTTTTCACTGCTGGTAGAGAGGTCCACTTCTATCAGACGGCCTACCATTGGTGATTCATTTGTATTTGTCCCCGGTTTCTTTAAGCAGAAAATAGACATCTACAACAAATATCATAGACACTGGGAGACAAAGAGGCTTCTGAGCTTTCACACTGAAATCTCAATTTCTTCAAACTTCTTTATAGAAGAAATGTAATATCCTGGGCTCAGGAATGCGAGGAAAGAAAGACATTGTTGATTATGAAATCTAAATTGATAAAGGTTCCCGTGAGTTGCAAATCCTTTCTAAGCTGAGAAAGGCAATGTGAAATAGTGAATGAAATGTCAACTCTAGAGTCTGAAGACTAGTGTTCAAGTCCAAGCTCCACCACTGTCTATAGAATTTGGAATTTGGAAATGTATTTAACTCAAGGTCTTAGTTTGCATGTCTCCAAAGTGAAGTCATGCATTGTTATCAGAGTCAAATGAGATAGTTGCTGTTGTTGTGAAGTGCCATTTATCTGGTTCCGACCCATAGCGACCCTGTATAGGGTTTCCAAGGAGCAGCTGGTGAGCTTGAACTGCCAACCTTGCATTTCAAATGGCTTTACAGTCTGGCGCATTAACCCACAGTGCCACACCAGGACTCTAAATGAGATGGTAGCTACTAGAACGTTATTCCAACTCTTGGCGACTACCCACCTCCATACACAGCAACAACAAAAACTACAATAGATTTCACTGTTGTAACTCAGGGTTCTCATTGACTTGTGGCTTTTCTTTCTTGTCTGTGAACGCAAGTGAAACCCATTTCACTCAAGCCTCCATGAAAGATTGCTGGTGGCTCTACATCAGGTGCCTTGGTCAAGAATTGAACCCAGGTCTCCAGCAGAAGAGATGCTAATCCACCTGGGGTTGCCCTGGAGCCAGAGCTGACTCACAGTAGCCAGTCAAAAGAATTCCGGGCTGTAGAATGTTTTCATCAACTGTGAAGTTGTAGGCAAATGCATGCTATTTACACATCTTACAAAATCTTAATGTAGTATGAGTGTTCCTGGGCCAAGAAAAGAAAAATATTGTAAGATACTGGGGTGCTGTGGGACGTTTGACCAGTGGGGGAAGGGCTTCCTCAAACAAGGATCGCTCATGGCTTTTCTCCTGGTGACCAGGCCTTTGTTTATGTCATGTTACAATGGGAGACAGACAGGAGGTCAAACCGAACCGAAAGGTCACCAGGCCTCTGTGATCTTAATAGTAGAGTTGGCTTAGCCCTCAGTCCATCTTGTTTTAAAGGATATATAATACAGCATTTTAAAATATAAGACAACAAATATTAAAACAATTCTAAATTGACCAATTCTCTAAGTGTGTCTATTGTCTTCTGAATTTACAAAAAACGGCAAAGAGCCCAGCCCTTTTCTGCAGTTCTGCCCCTCAGCACTTTGGTAAACAGCTTTGGGGAAGGACCCAGGATGAGATAAAGCAATTTCCCTGCCCTGGTATTGACAATTCGCTGGTACTTTCCCTTAAGAAGCCTCCTAGACAGATACTGGAGGAAGAGTCTAAAAGCAAATAAAGCATTGTGCTTAGTACAGAAGAGAGCAGATACAATTGAGCCCTGTTTTTCAGATATGCCATATTCCACTAACAGCTGGCTAGTTCTTTAAAGCACAGTTCAAAAGCTGTAATTGCTGAACAGAGCTTCAAGAGAATTTACAGAAAATGATAGAGCATTCCTGCAGATTATTAACATAATCATCTCATTTGTATTATAGACAAATACCTAAGATGTCTCCCAACTTGACACTTTACGAAACAGGTAGTTAATTAATGTAGGTAACGCAGCATTTAACCTGAAGCTTTCCCAGCAGGCATCTGGCGTGGTGCAAAAAGCTAGAGAAAGAAAATTACAAGGAACAAAGAGAACAAGGGAGCAAGGTTGGGATTGGGATGCGGTGCTGGAATCAAAATCTTGGGAAAGGAATTCAGGAGAAGAAAACAGGAGTACTACTGAGACTTTTCCAGAGGCATTAGTACCAAGGTCTTACCAGTTCTTCGTGATTACTTGATTTATTTTTGGTGTAGCCATAAGGAGTGAGGATGAGCTGTCCGAAAGAGTGTATGGTTAGGAAGCACAGAATGGTCTCCTTCTTGCTCTCTATAAAGCTGGAGACAGCTTTAGTCTCGGGTTCAGACACAGGTCCAGTGCCACAGAATGTTAAATTTTGGCAGTCTTTAGATGCACCAATACCTAGAACAGACAGGAAATCACAAAGAAGATATCATGATTTCAGTGTAGAACCCACCAAGGGCAGGGAGTTGTCTTGCTTGGGGCATCTGTGGATGGACTCAGGGCTTGCCTGTTCTCATTTATCTTAGTCGTGGCTCACTGAAGACGGTCTTTCCAGGAAGAATTCAGAAAAGTAGGTGGACTGACGCTTGGATTTAGAAGCAGATCCCATACTTACATGGCCCAGGAGAATGCAAAATGAAATAGCATTTTAGTAATTTTTTGTCTTTCTTTTTAGCTGGTTAGAAAAGACTTTGCTGCGGAATTTGATTTTGTTTATTTTTAACTTATATGATATAACATGGAATCCTGGTGTGGTGCTATAGGATAAGCACTGGACTGTTAACTGCAAGGTTGGCAGTTTAAACCCATCAGTCATTTCCCAAAATCCCTATACAGGGTTGCTATGAGTAGGAACCGACTCGACAGCGCTTAACAACAAACAACATGGTATAACATGTAACAAATTTTACCATTTAAAAAAATTCCATATTGTTGTGAAATATGTATCACAAGACATTTATCCTTGAATCATTTTTACATGTGCCGTTCAGTGGCATTAATGATATTCACAATGCTGTGGGATCGCTTTTGATTTCTCAAGCCTTTTCATCCAAGCATGAACTCTTTAGCACTAATTCCTCACTTCTCCCTAGCCTGCTCCACCCACCACTCCCCACAGCACTACCAGGGCTACAAAACACCCAAAATTCGCTGCCATCAGGTTGATTCCAACTCATAGTGACACAGTCAAACTGCTCCTTAGGGTTTCTTAGTCTGTAAATCTTTATAGGACCAGATAGCAACTAGTGGGTTTGATCTACTGTCCTTTCAGTTAGAAGCCCAATGCTTAACCCATTGCATGACCAAGGACCCAGCCCAATAGCTACTAGTTTCTTGACTCTATGCCTTGGCATTTTCCTATCCTTGATATCTTATAAAAGTGGTGATGGTGTGTGCCATGGAGTCGGTTTCAACTCATAGTGGCCCACTATAGGGTTTCTGAGGCTGCAAATCATTACTGGAGCAGAAAGCCTCCGCTTATATAAGTGGGAGCATGCAACATTTACCTATTTTGTGTCTGATTTATTTCACTTAGAATAATGTTTTCAAGGTTCATTCTTGCTGCAGTTTATTTTCTCTTCATAGCTGAATGATATTATGTTGAACATATATATTCCATTTTATTTTCCATTCATTTCAGTGATCATGTACTTACAGCTTCCAAGCCTGTATTGGGTCCTGAAACAGATGCTTGGGCTCCAGTTCTCTAATATACTCTTATTGACCCAACTCTCTACCTCACTGTCTTACTTGAATCTCAGTAAGGCGGTTTTTCAAGGACATAAGTTGACTGTGGAGGTCTGGTGTGACACTGTAGGATGAGCCCAGGAGTGCTAACTACATGGTTAGTGGTTCAAGCCCACCAGCCACTCCTTGGAAACCATATACAGGATTGCTATGAGTCAGAACCAACTCGATGGCACTCAACAACAACAAACAAGTTCAATGTCCTCCTCATAAATAATAATAAGGATCATCAGTTGCTGGGCACTGTGCTCAGTCGTTCCTATGTGTTGCCTCCTGTAATCCCCACATTTTATGTAAGAGAAAACTGAAGTGAGAGATGAAGGATTTTTCCAACGTCACACAGTTGCCAAATCTGATTTTAAACCTTGCTGTCTGTTTTTTAACCAGACTGTTATTAACCGTTCTTGCCTTTTATTTGCTTCCAATTCATTGGGCTTGTTGACATTCAGAAACACAAAAGCTTTATGTAGTGGAAAATGTTTGGCTTGTTTATTGACCACCCTCTTCCTGTAAAAGAATTTGCAAGGATAATTCTGATTTTTCTTTTCCCTATAACAATTCCTATATTTAGGAACAAAATGATAGATTTCAAGTCTCACTGTTCTAAGTTGACTTTGCCCTTGTGTATCTATCCTTTCTGAGGAGAGCCCTACATAGGATTGCTAATGGTTCTTACAGCATTGTTGTTGTTGTTGTTTAGTGCCATTGAGTCAATTCCAACTCATAGTGACCTTGGACAGGATCTCTGAGGAGTACCTGGTAGATTTGAACTACTGACCTTGTGGTTCAAAGTCCAATGCTTATCATATAGCACCATCCTTTTACAGAATAGATATTAACATTCCTTCAGAGAAATGAAACTAGGCAGGAAGTCTAGAAAACTGTATGAGTGTAACTTATTTTAAAATGCTATCTCTAGTAATTTACCTCTTTTCTTAATTCTCTGCTTTGTTGTTTTGGTCATCCGTCACTTAACTAAACATGTACTTACTACACCAAGATGCATTGAAATTTCTATTGAGATCCGTCCCAAAGCATGTGCCATTGTCATGGGATGACCGGGATTTCCTCCAAAAACGATCCTGTAACAGAGCAACATAGGGAGGTTGCCATTCTAAATTATAAGCCACAGAGCTTAATAATGATTGACAGCCCTCAGGCAGGAAAAATACTTCTTGGGATTGGCTGGAAGAACTGGCCTTGAAGATTATTAAACTTGTGCATGTACAATTTAATCTCACAGATGGGCTAGTAATCCCTACTAACAGAACATCTGTACCACCAAGAGTGGACCTCACATGCACACAGTCAAACTGGAGAGAGAAGGTCAGTTTTTTCTTTACAAGCAGTGCCTGCGGACATGTTCTACTTAATCAGGGAAAGCTTTGGAGAGCCATTTTTTAGGTCCAAGTGATACAGGATGAAAGAAAATAGCTTGGCAGATGGAACAAGGCTGTTTCAGGTGTATCAGAGATGATCTCTGCACATTTCTGAACGCAGATGACAGACGAATGGAGATGAGGACCAGGTTCACCTGACAAGCACTTAGGACGGAGGGATTGAATTCAAACAACAAGCCAGAAAAGCTGTTCTATGAATGGGGATCTTACCAAGGGGGAATGGTAGAGGGTGGGGATGATTTACAACTCTAGGAAACAGGACTTTTTATTTATGAAATGATAGGTGCTAGAAATATGGTTTCAGAGAAAGTTATATAATTAATGAAACTACTTTATGAGATGTTTTCCCCATTTAGTGTGAATGGTCACATGGAAAAGTGAAGCCTGGTTTTGAATTTACGTCTGTCTCATTTATTTATTCTCATGCTTTATGAATTGATTTTAGGTAGACACAGATTGGTAGGCAATCCACAGATTTAAAGAGATAGAGGAGGAGAAAAGTCAAGTCTAGTTAGAGAACTGAGAATATATAAAATGACAAAACAAAGTGCTGGATTTCAACTCTAAAGAGGCCTTTAAAGAATCAGTTCCTGTGGTGTCAGTGGCAACTATGGAGACCCAGGAATGTTAGAGTAGATCTGTGATCTACAGGTTTTTCGATGGCTGATTTTTTAGAAGTAGATCTCCAGACCTTTCTTCTGAGTCCCTCTGGGAGGATTTGAACCTGAAACCTTTGATTAGCTCCCTAGGGCACTAATAATCATTTGTACCACCCAAGGATCCTAAAGAGACCCTGTCAGCTGCTATCAAGTCAATTTCAACTCATTGTGTCCTCCTCAGTTCTAAACTTTATTTAGACTGTTGGTTTTAAAAAAGAACATTTGAGTTGATTTTATCCCAAAAGGGAATATTTTTGCACACACATTTATTTGTCAACTCAGCTCGCTACCAAATTCAACTTACAGTTGTCCAAGTGTAGATATAACCATCTATGTTAAGAACTGGAAGCACATAGAAGTCCAAGTTCCTAAGAAGCCTGCTAATCCTTGCGTTGTCTTTGTAGTTTTGTAGAATCTGGAAATTTAAGAGATAAACATTTGGAACAATCTTGACAATTTTTTTTTTTTTTTTTCCTCAATTTTCTAACAATTTCAATTTAATTGTAAGAAATAACTTTATTGCTAATCCCCAACCCCTAACTTCACCTCAGTTAGTCTATTCTTTAGGGTTGTTGTGTGCCATCGAGTCGACTCTAACTCGCAGCAACACTATCTGAGTGAGTAGAACTGCCACATGGGCTTTTCTCAGCTATAATCTTTATGGGAGCAGATTGCACTTGAGTTGCTGAATCCCCTGATTTGCCAATATTGGTTACTAAGCCTTTAACCATTGTGTTACTGAGGCTTCTTTTTCTCTATAGTTGCTGTTGTTAGGTGCCATCAAGTCAGTCCTGACGCGTAGCGGCATGATGTACACCAGAATGAAACACCTCCCAGTCCTGCACCAGCCTCACAAGCGTTGCTGTGTTTGAACCCATTGCTATAGTCACTGTGCCAATCCATCTCTTGAGTGCCAATCCACCTTTTCCTTTTTCTGTTGTTGACCCTCTACCAAGCATGATGTCTTTCTCTGGGGACTAGTCCTGCCTGATAACACGTCCAAAGTATGCAAGATGAAGACTAGCCATCTTCCCTGGTAAGAACCATTCTTGCTCCACTTTTCCCACCAAAATTTGTTTGTTCTCCTGGAAGTCCATGGTATATACTTACTCTTCACTTATCAACTATCCAGAAATCAAATGACATATGGCAGTAGGCAAATTTGTTACAAAAGCCCTTTTTAAAATGCTAAAGAGCAAAAATTTCACTCTAAGGACCAAGGTGAAGTAAAAGTAAAGAGGACTTAAAACATTTACTGATGAAGATCAAAGAGCACAGACTTCGATATGGATTACATCTCAATATAAACAAAACAAAAATCCTCACCACTGGACCAATAAACAGCATTCTTATGAACAGAGAAAAGATTGAAGTTGTCAAGGACTTCATTCTGCTTGGATCAACCATCAACACTCACGGAAGCAGCAGTCAAGAGATCAAATGGCGTATTGCATTAGGCAAATCTGCTGCACAAGACCTTTTTAAAGTGTTGAAGAGCAAAGTTGTCAGCTTGAGGACTAATGTGCACCTGACCTAAGCCATGGTATTTTCAATAACCTCATATGCATGCAAAAGCTGGACAGTGCATAAGGAAAACCGTAGAAGAATTGATGCCTTTGAGTTATGGTGTTGGAGAAGAATATTGAAAGTGCCATGAGCTGCCAAAAGAACCAATAGGTCTGTTTTGGAAGAAGTGCAGCCAGAGTGCTCTGTGGAGGCCAAGATGGCCAAACTTCGTCTCTCATACTTTGGACATACTGTCAGGAGGGACCAGTCACTGGAGAAGGATATCATGTTTGGTAAGGTGGAGGATCAGCAAAAAAACAGAAGACCCCCAATAAGATGGATTGGCCAAGTGGCAGCATTGATGGACTCAAGTGTGGCAACAATAGTGAGGTTGGCCCAGAATCAGGCAGTGTTTCGTTCTGCTGTGCAAAAGTTGCTGTGGTTTGGTACCAACTCGATGGTACCTAACAACAACAACAAAGGACCAAGTTGCAGCTGACCCAAGTCATGATATATTCAATAGCCTCACATGTATGTGAAAGTTGGGCAATGACTAAGGAAGACTCTAGAAGAACCAGTACATTTGAATTGCGGTGTTAGAGAAGAAGAGTGAAAGTGCACGGACATGTTGTACTTTGGATATTTTGTCAGGAAGAGCCAGTCCTCGGTAAAGTGGAGGGTCAGCAAAAAAAGGGGAAGACCCCCAACAAGATGGAGTGACACAGTGGCAGCAACAATGGGCTCAAACACAACAATTGTGAAGCTGGTCCAAGACTGGACAATGTTTAGTTAGTGTCTGTTGTGCATGGGGTCGCTATGAATTAGCACCAACTCAATGGCACCTAACAACAACACTTATCAACAATCCCATTCATTATCTGACATTTTACATTTACAGCAATCATAAAAATATCTACTGACTACTTTGTGTATTTATGACATGAACACCGAGGTATAAGCCAAGAAAAACACTGGCTGTGATGGTGAAGGCTATGTGTCAACTTGATTGAGCAATGATTTTCAGTGGCCTAACAGTTATGTAATGATATAATTTGGCAATTATGTAATGCCGTAGTCATCCTTCCTTTTGTAGTTATTGTGTGGTTATCATCCATTTTTACATACTGCTGATTTTCCTATAACAACCCAGTCTTTAAAACCTAACCATGTTGATAAGTAAGAAGTGAGTATATTTAATATACTTTTCCAACACAATAAAAGTACATCAATTCTTTGGTCTTCCTTATTCAATTATCCAGTTTTTGCATACATATGCGGCAACTCAAAATGCCAAGACTTAGGCCAGGAATATCTTAGATCTCAATGTGACATCTTTACTTTTTTAACATATAAACATTTAACATCTTTTGCAGCAGATTCGCCCAATACAATACATCATTTGCTTTATTGACTACTGTTTTCATAGACACTGATTCATTCAGGATCCAAGTAAAATGAAGCCTTCAACAACTTTAATCGTTTCTCTGTTTATCAAGATGTTGCTTATTGGTTCAGTTGTGAGGGTTTCTGTTCTTTTTCTATTGTGATGTAATCCATACTGAAGACTGCAGTCGTTGATCTTTATCGGTGCTTTAAATCCTCTTCGCTTTCAGAAAGCAAGGTTGTATCATCTGTACTGGTTGCTAATGAGTTTTCCTCAGATCTAGATGCCAAATTCTTATATAGTCCACTTTCTCACATTATTTGCTAAGTTACATATAGACTCAATAACTGGTAACAGGATACACCCCAGATGCATACCTTTCCTGATTTCGAACCACTCAGTACTCTCTTGTTTTGTTCTGATGCCTGCCTCTTGGTCTATGTACAGGTTCTGTAAGAGCATAATTACGTTTTGTGGGAGTCCCATCTCTTTGTCCATAATTTGTTATGATCCATACAGTCAAATGTCTTTGCATAGTTAATAAAATACAGGTAGTTCTACTGTGTCCCAAAAGGTCACTATAAGTTAGAATTACCTCAGTTATAACGAATTTGGTTTTGGCTTAAACATGTTTCTGGTATTTTCTGCTTTCAGCCAAGATCCATCTGACATTAGCAGTTATATCCTTTGTTCCACATCCTCTTCTGAATCCAACTTGAATTTTTGGCAGTTCCCTGTCAATTTACTGCTACAACAGTTTTTTGTTTGTTTGTTGTTTTTTTTAATTATCTTCAGCAAAATTTAATTTCCACATACTATGTATGGGTTCTCTAAAGAAGCAAACCTAGTGAAGCTCAGATATTTATATCAAGGAAATGGCTCACATAGTTGTAGAGGCTGGCATGGTTCAAGTCTGTGGGTCAGATGCCAGACTGAAGGCTGCTCCTGACTCACATGGCTGCAGGAGCTGATGAATCCAAGATCAGCAGGTCAGATTGCAGGCTTCTGGATGCAGAGGCCAATGAATCCAATGATGATTCCCAGGATTTGCCGGCATTACAGCTGGCCACTGGCTCACGTCCAAAGAACAGGAGGTCAGATGACAAGACAGATGCAGAATCCAGACCCAGCTAAAAGCAAAGTAAGTTTGACCAAGTGTCCAGTATAATAGAAGCGGGCCACACCCCCAAGGCAACTTTCTTTCAATTGATTGGCTACTCATAACAGATTTCATCATTGAGAATTACTACTTCTTAACTGCCAAACCACTGAGAATCCTGGCCCATTCAAGTAAACCTTAACTATTACATGATACTACTGATATTATTCTGGTGGTTCTGATGGATCACCTTTCTTTGGAATGGGCATGATACCATGATACCCTTTGAATATGGATCTTTCCAGTTGGTAGGCCAAACATATGGGTGCTTCCAGTGTTGCATCCATTTGTTGAAACATCGCAACTGGTCTTCTCTTTATCCCTGGAGCCTTGTTTTTCACCAATGCCTTCAGTGCAACTTGGACTTCTCCCTAAATATTATTGTTAATACATTAGTTTTTTAAATGAATGAATATTGATCACTTATTTTTGATACAATGACTGTATATATTTTTCCATCTTCTCTTGATGCTTCTTGTATCATTCAATAGTTTGCCAACAGAATCCCTCAACTTAAGGCAATCTATTTCATCTTGAGGCTTAAATTTTTTCTACATTTCTTTCAGCTTGAGAAGTATTGAGCATGTTCTTCCTATTTGGTTTTCTAATTCCAGGCCTTGCACATTTCATTACAGTATTTTACTTTATATTCTCAAGCTGTCCTTTGGAATTTTCAATTTAGCTCTTTTACTTCATCATTTCTTCCATTTGCTGTAGCTATACTAATTTCAAGAGCAAGATTCAGTGTCTTCTGACATTCATTGTGATCTTGTTTTCCCCTCTTCTGTCTTTTTTAATGCCCTATTTCTTTCTTAATATATGAGATGTCATCCCACAAGTTGTCTGGTGTTTATTGATCAGTGCATCAAATCTATTCTTGAGATGATCTCTAAATTCAGGTGGGGATGAATTCAAGTTTGTCCTTTGGCTTTCATGGACTTGTTTTAGTTTTCTTCATCTTCAACTTAAAATTACATATGAGCAATTGATGGTCTGCTTTGCAATTGGCCCTTGGCCTTATCCTTTTTTAAAAAAAATTTTTAATGCTTTATTGTGAATTATGTGATAGTTTACATGGGAGGACATCAGCTTCACATTGATCCTGTCGTATATCATTTCCTTGCCATGGTTACAATCCCTTCCATGCATCATCCATCAACTAAAGGGTATACCTTTAGTATAGACCAGGCCTGCCCCCTGGTCATCTGCATACCGCCCCTTTCTCTCTCTGGGTCCAAAGTCTCCAGCCACTCCATTTCCCCACATCAGTCATCGTCTCTGCCTCCATCCCTAGCATCACTGCTTCTCTGGGTAGGGTTCCATTCTCCGCTCTTCTCCTTTGATGGTCCCAGGGACCTTCACTCCTAGACTACAAGATTAATCACTCCCCTCCCTTTGCCCCAAAACATCTACCTTTACATTTCCATCCTTTACAATCTGATAACAATTATTCACCATTTATTGCAAGAGACCTATCTGCATAGCTTTTCTTCAGCCCTGACTAGGCAGAATGGACACTACTCAATGGAGATTCTACCTTGCTCTCTGCCCTCTGGATCTAGGTTCCCTCTTGAAAGCTTGCAAGCCAGTCACTTCTTGCCTCTGTAGCCCCCCATTCTGGGTCGCCAGTGTCTAAGTTGCCCATCTCCATCCTCTCCGTGTGCGGAGGAGGTGAGAATGATCCTCGCTGTGAAGATTTGTTCACTCTTTTGAGCTACTGCTTCCATAGGTCTATGTCAAGTTCATCAAATTGTATCAGATTACTCTTTTTTCCCTCTTCTTTCGTCTTCTGTTTGTGCTCTGATCATCCAGCCATTGAAGCCAGATCAAGTGGGTATTATCTGCAAGTGTGGGTGTACTTATGCATGTGCCCTCTCTTCTTATCAGCTGGACACTTCACTCTCCACTCTAGTCCTCTGTGGCTATGTCACTGACTCCTGGTCCAAAAGTCCCCTGGACTTGGCATACTGCTGGCCAACCAGGTTTCCATCCGAGTTCACAGGAGTCTATTGAGCATTGTATGGCTTAGCTCACAGCTTCATTACTGTTTTTCCCTCACTTCCCCTTATCGCTGATGAACGTGGTTGCCAATCAGAGCATGCATTCCCCTTGAGCCTTAGTCTTAGAAGGGGGTTTGCCTTGAAGGGGACCCGACCACTTGCCTTGATGTTTCCTGGGCGAGCCACTTGTTTGTTCTTGTAGTAATCAGTTGGCCTGCCTATATTGTTTTGTGTTTTTCCTGTCAGTTTTTCTTTCAGAAAGTATCTTCTGTTCTTCTGGCCACTCCAGGCTAGTCTGCTTGTCCTTTCAAGTGGACATTTCCCCTCCGAAGATTCTGGATGCTGTTCAGGATTCCACCTATGGTCTTGTGTAATGCAGAGGCTCCTCAGGAAGCCTCCTTCACTGGGCACGTTGTAGCCCCATTTTAGGTATTCCAATCAGTTATAGGCAGAAGACGGACTTACACGCTTTCTATGGCAGTATTTCTGGCTATTCCTTTCTCTCCCTCTCTAGTGTCTATGTTATAGCTGTATGCCAGGGGGACCAAGACTCAACAGACAAAAGCTTCTTAACATTATTTCCCCCTTTTTCTCCATTCAAACCATGTTTCAATCTCTGTATCCCAGAGCCCTGTTGTTCAAAGTTTTGCATACATCATTATTTGCCTCAGTCCACTTCAGCTTCATATTCATCCTATCATATTTCATTTCATTGCAATGATTAAAATCCCCTCCGTGCATCATCAAATAACCAAAGAATACATACACCCACTGCTCCCCCCACCCAGCTCTCAGCAAACAGCTCCTTTTCCTCCCTGAGTCCCATGTCCCCAGCTACTCCATCTGTCCATGACAACATAGACCCCCCACCATTTTGGGTCTGGGCAGTTTCCAGCCCCTCCCCAAGGTATTCCAGTTAGTTTTAGGCTGGATCTGGGCCCACATGTGTTCTGTTGTGATGTTTGTTTCTGGCTCTTGTTCTCTCTCTCCCCCCCTCCCCCCCAAGTGTCTATTTCACAATGGTAGGCAAGGGAGACCAAGATTCAAAAGACACCTTGGCTTTATTCTGACTTATGGAAAGAAAGGCAGAGATTGCATGATAGACTGTTACAAGACAGAATCATGGTGTGATGCTGTAGGATAAAGCACTGGACTACAAGGTTGGTTTGAACCACAAGGTCGGTGGTTCAAAATCAACAGCCACTCCCCAGAAACCCTATACAGGATTGCTATGAGCCAGAATCAACTTGACGGCACTTAACAACAGCAACAACACTGACCTATTCACTGTAAATACTTTCCAACATCATAAATGGTGACTGTGCTCATGGACCTCACTGGATGGAATACACAGGGTGGAATACACTACTGCATCTGTAGAAAGAGGAGGCAGGGATGCTCAATATCCTCAGTCTTCTTTCTGGTCCCACTGCCATGAGTTGATTACTACTCATAACTACAAATCTTTAGAGAGTAGAAAACCTCGTCTTTCTTCTGAGGAGCTGTTTGAACTGGCAAACTTGTAGTCAGCAGTCCAGTGCTTATCCTGTAATGCCACCAGGGCTCTGTTACTGATGATGATGTTGTTCTTCTTAAACTCTATCAAGTTGGTTCTGACACATTACAACTCTGTATAGGGTTTCTGAGGAGATGCTGGTGGATTTGAACTGCAAACCTTGTGGTTCACAGTCCAGTGCTTATCCTACAGTGCCACAGCAAAGTCCCTAACGATGATGGTGGTGGTGGTGGTGGCTGTGTGTCATTGAATCGGTTCTGGTTCATAATGACCCTGTATAGGGTTTCCAAGGCTGTAAATCTTTATGGGAGCAGAAAGCCTGATCTTTGTCCTGTGGACTTGAACTGCTGACCTTGCAGTTAGCAGCCCAATGTGTAACTGACGATGCCACCAGGGCTCCTTTCAATAACTGCTGTATTGTTGTTATGAGTCAGTTCCTACTTATGGAAATCCTGTATAGGGTTTCCTAGGAGCAGTTGGTAGGTATGAACTGCCAACCTTGTGATTAGCAGTCCAGTGGTTCTCAAATTTCAGCATCAGAATCACCTAGAGGACAAGTTGAAACACTCATTTCAGCCTCACCTCCCCCACTCCAATTTCTAATTCACAAGATCAGAGATACAGCCTTAGCATTTGCATTTCTAACAAGTTCCCAATTGATGCTGATTGAAGCTGCTGCTCTTAAAACCACACTTTGAGACTCTTTATGAGTTTCTTTATGCTTGATTTTCTGAAGAGACTGGAAAAAAAAAATGTATCTTTTGTTACTTTTGAAGGTTTCTTATCTCCTGCAGGGAAGGGTATAGGTAATATGCAAAAATCCACTTTGCTAGTTCTTTTCTTATGTTAACTCTTAATTCACACAACAGACCAAAGTAGCAGCCAGTTTATACTCCATTTACAGATAAAAGCCTAGTGGACCTAGTGCGAGAAGATTTGTCTAAGAATATTACAGACAGGCAGAATTCAAACTTGCCTCTGACTCCCAAGATGTATTTTCTTCTACTCGTACAGATGTCTAACTTCCAAGAGAAGTTATTTTTGATGCACTGGAAGGAGATTAGACCCCTAGCTTAGTTTTCAGTGAACCTACTCATTAATTGGAGTTCTGGTTTGGGGCTGTAGGATAAGCATTTGGTCAGTTTGAACTACAAGGTCAGTGGCTCAAACTCACCAGGCACTCCTTGGAAACTCCATACAGGGTCGCTGTGAGTCAGAACTGACTTCATGGCACTCAGCAACAACAACTCATTAATTCCTTTTCACTTGGGAAGCAGAAATAGCTCACTACCAGTTGCTTTGCCAGGCATGAAAGAAGCACCCTTTTTATATGGCCAAGAAGGGGCAGGAATCTGGGTGTCAGGTACCATTAGGAGGAAATGAAAAAGACTTACTTCTTTCACAAACCATTGGCAAAAAGCTGGGGCAATCCATTCCCTGGCGTGAATTCCACAATCCATCCAAATCATCTTCTTGGGATTATTTGATGGTTGGCTGATCTGGAAAGGACATCAGTGCTTCATTAGCAAACAATCCCTTTATTATTGTAAGCCAGTGAGCCCAGGGCAAAGCTGGTAAATTTTATTCCCCAGACCAGTACCAGTTGCCATGCAATCGATTATGACTCATAGCAACCCCATGTGCTACAGAGGAGGGTTTTCAAGGTATTGATCGCTCAAAAACACATTGCCAGACCTTTCTTTAGAAGCACCTCTGGGGGAATTTGAATGGTCAGTTCGTAATGGAGAGCTTAATGGGTTGTGCCACCAGTGATGTCCTCTGCTCCCTAGAAATCCCCTTTTCTGCTCCATGTTGGCAAGCAGGAAGCAAGGCTGCTGATTGAGACATTCACTTTTATGATCCTGTCTTCTGTCATTCTTGTTTTCCTGCCATAGTTGCCTTGGTTGTTGTATGTGGATGTGTGCTGACTACCCACATCACCTATCCTAAGCCTGGTTGTTCCTACACCCTAAATTATTGCCTAATTTTAAAGGCATAAACCCTTAAGTCACAAGCTAAGAGGCTAAGTCCACGTGAGCCTTCTAGAACCTTAGCCCACGGGTTTACTCAGAGATAGTGGCATCACTAGGATTGGTGTCACCCAGTGGGGTAGCTCATGGTGTCACCCCTTGTCATGGGCCTCCTGCCATACTATTGTTGTTAAGTGCTGTTGAGTTGGTTCAGACTCATAACTACCCAGAATAGAGTTTCCGAGGAGTGGATGGTAAGTTCGAACTGCCAACCTTGTGATTCAAACCGACCTTGCAGTCCAGTGCTTTATCCCACAGTGCCACACAAAGACTCCAGTCCATACAGAATCCTTAGTAATGTTTATTATTAATTTTGATCATAGGATACTATGTGATAGACATAGTCATAAATTGCCTAAAATGTAATAGATCTTATTATATGAACACTAACAACAAAATTGTTTTCTAAAATCTTTTTACATCAAATCACATAACTAGTTAGAACATTATTAGTAACTGAGCAAAAGCATTTTTTAAATTTTCTTCTTCTTTTCCTTTAATTACTACTTCATTCTCAAACAAGTTATTGATATAGCTTCACAAATATGAAATATTGTAGCTAAAACATCAGAAAATGAGACAAAATCACTGACTACAAAAATATCTTGTAAGCAACAAAAACAGCAGAGCATACATGAAGTACCTCCAGATCACATGATTCAAAGTGTTATTATAATTGTGTAATAATGACAGCTCTGCCCAGAGTGTATTGTTTGTTGTTGTTTAGTGCTGCAAGTTGGTCCTAACTCATTGTGATTATGTATAGGGTTTCCTAGAAGTAGCTGCTGCTCGGAAACCGTATTCAGGGTTGCTATGGATCGGAACTGACTCAACGGCACTTAACAACAACAACAGAAGAAGCTGGTGAGTTTCAACCACTGACTTTGAAGTTAGCAGTCCAGTGCTTGTTTTATAGCGCCACATCAGGACTCATTATTGTTGTTAATAAGTGTTGTCGAGTTGCCTGCATAGGGTTTCTGAGGAGCAACTGGTGTGTTTGAGCCACCAACATTGTATTTGACAGTTCAGTGTTTATCCTACCGTACCACACCAAAAAGTAGATTCAAAAAGTAGATTAACATTAAATTGTAGCCATATAGGTATATTGATAATTTAAGTTGGACTTACAAAAATACTTTTATTATCACTAACTACAGGGATATTTTTATTTTAAAAAAATAATTTTTTGTTGCTGAAATACTGAACAAAAAATTTGTATACAGCCATTTTTATGTCATTCTCTCTGAGAGTGTCACCCAGTGTGGTTCATGCTCCCATCCTGCTCAAAGAGGCAAACAAAGGTAGCAATCAAAGTTCACAGTTGACTTTCAGTCCGTTAAATTGCTTGTGACCTTGAAGGGATGTAAACACATACTCTGCTCCAACTCGTTTAAATGTTCCTTCCCCCTAGAGACTCCTCCATTACCAGCCAACCCAACCTTCATTCCTCTCTCTCCTGTTGTTATTTCTGTCCATCACTTCGGCCTCACTCCAGCAAAAAGATCCCCTCATTTTTCAGAGGGGTGGGGTAGACAGGAATGAATCTGGCAATTATGGAGCCTCTTTGGTGGAGAAAAGACTATGAACACTCCCACGTTTGTTACAGTCACATCTGTTTGGAATTGAATCTAACCTGGTCTAGTGGTGTTCACTGAAGCCACTGAGAACTGACCGGAGGAAGGCTCTCTCCTTCCATCTGTGAAACTTACAAACTGTGATCAACACATGGCTGGTTCCATCATATTAAAGGAAGTTTCTCCTTTCAGCCTCATCCAGTTTCAAAGCTGCCAGCGCAAGTCCTAACCCATCTTCTCTTATATTTACTCCTTTTATGAGTATATGTATATTCATTTTATGTTGGTCTTTATTGCTTCTTTATTGTAATTCAATTTATTCTTAATAATATGCCCCAAGCACAGGATGTTGAGATGTCTTTGGCTGAATTAACTCAGAATTTGATGACTTTTCTAAAATGAGGTAGGCAGGTGCCCCATGCACTCTGTATAAGTCAATCAGTCTACTCCTGGGTAAATTCTATTTCAGAGCCATAGATTTATTTGTAATTGTAGAGAACTGAGAGTTTGAGGATGTGGTTTGTAAATTGACATGGCTACAGTAAATAGTGAAAAGGCAATTAATTAAGCAATTCTACTTCTTAATATGCCAAACCACTTTGGCTAAAATTTTTGGTTCTGTGAGTCTTGGACCAGCAGGTTCAGCATCACCTGGGAACTTGTTAGAAATTCATTGTTCTGAAATTAGTACACACTAAAACCATGTAGAAGAGGGCTTTTTAAGCACAGATTGCTAGGCACCACCCCTAGAGTTTCTGACTCAGTAGGTCTAAGGAGGAAATCTGAGAATGTGCATTTCTAACAAGTTCCCAGGTGGTGATGATGTTGCTGATTCAGGGACCACACTTTAAGTCATTAGTTTGGAGCAGTGCTTCTCAACTCTGGCTAGACTTTGGGATTATCTGGCAAGTTTTCAAAGCATACTGTTGCTTGATCCCCATCCCACACCAATTAAATCAAGATCTTGGTGGGGTTGGGAGCGGAGTGGGGTGAGGTGGAGGTCGACAGAAATTAGTGTTTCTTAGCTGCTGTCCAGATGATTTTAATGTGTGGCCAAGTCCAGAATTGGAAACCTAGAAGTTCTGGTGCTGTGGAAAGGTAGATATTTGGCCCCAAACACTTTTCAGCATGTCACCTGCAAAAGGGGTAGGGAAGCTTGGAGATCTGGTTAATATCCTGGCTTTACGTTGCACGTCACTTCACTCCTTTGGTTCTTTGTACATACCTCAACCATGGAATGAAGGAGCTAAGTGATGTGTGGTTTTCAAGTGTTTTTATGGAAAAATTCTGTTTTAAAAACTCAAAATATAGATACACAATGACCAGGCTCTGGTTGAAGCATGAGTTGAGGATTTTCTCCTTATCCACTTCCTCTATCCCCATCCTGAAGGTGAACACAGGCCTTTAAAGAATAAAGGTGGAAAACCAACAACTAGAATGTCTACATTCTGTACAGTCAATACCCACCATTCTAAGTTCCTCAGTGTTGGTGGAGACAAGACAAGGCAAAATGAAAAAGAAATGAGCTCTACCACGTCTGGACTTATTTTTTTTAAGTTGTTGTGCCAAGACCCAATTATTTTTCAAATTCTTCTTACTCCGGAATTTGACTCTACCCAGATGATTAAACCTTGTTGTTGTTGTTTTCAGGTGCCATCGAGTCGGAACTGACTCATAGCGACCCCATGCACAGCAGAA